TTTTTGCAAATCTGTTATTAATGAAAATAACTTTAAAATTTATCCATTGAGCATAATAGTGGCTTTGTCTCAAAATATTATAACCAATCGATGTATTGATTAAGTTAAGATCAGATTGTTTATTAAAAATGTTCAAATTTCGATTTCTACTATTTCTGGTGATGTATATCTTACAAAAGAATTTATTTTTGAGGTGTAGTATGTAGAATCTAAGAGTAAGAGTTATTAAAAGTTATTATTGAAATTCTGTCTTGTAGTCTTATAGTCTCAATTTTCAAGACTAAAGGTCCCAAACTTTGCACAAAAAGTAATAAGCATCATTTTGGACCATTGATTCAAGACCTTAAAAATACTTTTCAAATTCACTTTAGTGCCAAACTAGCGCAATCGTCCAAGAACAGAACAATTATCCATTTTGTCAAGAAACCACATCTGAAAATCGGATGATAGCATACTTAAATCGATCCTTAAAGGCAAACAAAATGAATATTTGGCAGAAGGAAGACCGTGGAAGCGATGACTTAAGACAGTAGAGTCATGTATATTGGAAATTATGAAAGTAAGACCATTAATCATGTATACTGAAGAAAGTTGTGACTCACAGTGGTTTATAATAGTCAATAATGTTGACGATTATTTTAATTACATTCATGTGTTGGTTTAATCTACAAAAAAATAAATATATCTTTCATCCTCGCATTTCTACATAGATGTAATCAACTGATTTTTGAATTTTAACTATTTATGCAATTTTATTAAGCCATTTTTTTTTAGTATTTCTATTCTAATTTCATATGCCAACATATATTCACTACGAATTGAATTTAAATAAAATTCATAAGGTTATGATTAATTCGTTACAGTAGTCATAAGGATTTAGTAAGGACTGGTGGCACAACGTGTTGCCGTATTAATCTCAAAAGATTTAAAAGCATTTCCAACATTTAATGACACCTACGATGTTCTTCAATTAAAAATTTGGCCACTTTCTAAGATCCTCTAGATGGGGATCGGACTGTGCCGTCCAAAGCACAGTCCGACATATTTCTAATCTATCACATATATATTTTGCTAAAATGATAAATAAATAATTAATAAAACTAAATTTAACATTATTAACCGTATTTTTAATTTTCTCCAAAAATAACCATGGATGCTGCCCTCCAATGTACACAAAAACTTGTCATCTGTAGTCTATACAGCCCTGCTCTAGATAGTAAATTCCTAGCATGTTTAATTTATATTGCGCATGCACTAGACCAGAGGTTTTCAATTAAGGAGAAACTGAAATTTGAAATTCTACGTAAAGCTCCAGTGATATCGCGCAGTTGTAAACTGTTTGTAATACAATATCTCCCACCTTTTCGCGAACGACTGGGAATTGTATTGTGGAACAGTAAATGATACGCAGCGTACAATTTGAGAAACTCTGTACTAGATAATGACAAAACATTCTAACAGCTGCACTGATATCTTACTTTGATTACTTTATGTATATATTTTCTTTTTGTATGTGAAATTTAATAATTGTGAGTTATATTTTATTAAAAATTAAAAAAAATTATATGTTACAAGTGCGTAATGCGAGTATTTTAAAATTCTTAAAATACTATATTCATAGTGCATACTGGTAATAGGAAGTTCTGCAAATTTAAAGCGACTATGAGACTTCCGTTCTGCGTCAGTTATAAACTTTCCTATCAATCATTTATATTAATTATTCAAAATTGTGTTGGAACCGCTAACTGAGTTGCGTGCGCCCTTTCCACTCTTCAGCAGTTATACACCTCGTGCGGCACCGAATCAAATTTGTAAGGTTTTTAATAGTTTTGAACAGCAAAGTGATTTGTTGCATTTAAATAAGCTTAAATCAATGTAATCAGGTGAAACGGACAAAAACGTGTGACATAGCGGTTTTTGTGGTCAACACACAATACACAACACACAACACATAACACACAATCAATTTCCTTCAATTTAATTATTTTGACCAATTATACACTCTGCGTAGACATGGACATGAAGAGGTTTTCAGTTTCACTGCATCCAACTACTTGGTTATCACTTTAATTTTTTTTTTTTATTTTCTTTTGTAAATTGAATATAAATAAAATTCTGAACAAACAATAGCACCCACCAATTCGCATCAACAAATAACATGGAGAAGGTATTGATGGTTGATGGTTCCTTGAATTGTTTTAACAAACTTATGCGTTATTCATGAGAATATATCAAAACTGAAAATCAATTGAGGTGGTTCTGACTAAGCATAGTTTGGTTGAAGGAAGAATTTACTTGTGTTATATGTTTTACTGCGAAAATGATTGAAATGCTTCGCAAATAAAAAACCAAAACGTAAAACTAAAACTATGTAATAATAAAGTTTTACGGGATCAAATATTTAACTTTTCCTATATAAATATATTTTAACTAACTAACGATAAACACTATCATATAATTGAATTTCTACTATCTTTTATACATATTAATATTTAATTGATGTCTTAAAATATTTAAATAAAATACTAATTATACTATACTATATAAATTAATTAGTATTTTAACATATGTAACATATGTAACATATGTAATGTTACATACATATGTAAACTTTAATGAGAAAAAATTTCATGCGAAATATGTTTTCATACTGTTCTATTTAAAATTCAATCATATTGGTTGGATGGAATAAACAAGTTTATTGATGAATAAAAACATCATAGCAAATTTCTGGGAACCATGACAGAATATCGAACTCTGTCACATGTTTGAAATGTTCTTATGTGATGTGATTCTAATGTTCTTTGCCAGACAAACCGTCAACGTTTTTACTATTCGAACGTGAACATAATTAGTTAGTAGTTCAAACTGTGAGAAAAAAGTTCACAAACAACAAATAGTTTAGTTTATATTTACCTAACTCCTTCTATCCTCAACTCTGCACGAAGTTGAAGCATTCCTGCAATTACGGTAAAAATTATGCCCATTGTCTATGGTACGTTGTATATCGATATTAAACTTTAGTTAGAAATTGAATTTATTGGAAAAAAAATATATATAAAGTTGAAAAACCTAACAAAAAGTAGACGCAATTAAATACGTCAACCAAAAGCTTATTGGTACGCTTATTGGTACGCTTATTGGTACGCTTATTGGTATGATATTCTGATCATAGAAGACACGTTGGCGACTTTAGATCGCATATATAAATGGTAAAATACCATATCAAGCCAGAGATGACAATGATAATGATGATTATGCTACTGCGTTTGTTGTCTTCGTATGTTTTAATCGATGATGGTCATTATATTTCTTATACTACATACTGTTAAAGAAATGTACAAAAGTCGCAGTCAATTGGGGGCTCAAGAGTATAGATCTGTTTTTATTGTTTTAGTGGCAATTAAATCGATAACACTGCGAATAAGAATATTACGTAAATATTAATAACAAAAGAAATACATTTCTTACATTTTTAAATGAAATATATTTTATAGTGTGGAAAAGAAATTGTATTGATACTTGATATCTTTTTAATTTTTATTTAGTTGTTGTGTGAAATTTTTTTTCGACCTGTTTATTAAAATGGTTTTTTATATATTTTTAATCTTTGTGTATGTCCTTTCTTGTTAAATACGATCGTAATCCTGTTGATAACTCTCAAGGAGAGTCGAAATTGTAATATATTTATCACTTTTTAAATATTGATAGATAGATAGAACTTCCCCCTATTAAATTTTATAACTGCGTATATGTGATTTTAAAATGTATATAACTGTGATAGACATCAAGCATCAAACTGAATGTTCACACAACAACTGCTTGATATCTGATAGTCGATGCACGTGGAGTAAAAGGAATTTTTCCATTTACGGCAAAGGTATGGGATTCCACGTTAAAAGACTTGGTAAAGTCTAGCATATTCACTGCTTACTAACTTACTTACTTACGTACTTACTTATGTATATACACATCTATACATAATTACCAAGTAACGTGTTTCTGCCAAGTATTTCGCAAATCCTCTAGAGTACTTAAAAATGAAATACAATGTCGTTGAATGTTTTTTCCTTTTTTGATTTGTAACTCGCTTCATAAAGTAAGTACATTATTATTATAAAAAAAATTGAATAAGAAATTGTTGCATGAAAATATGACAACTATTTTCTTTACACACGTTTCTGAATTTATCTAAATAAATATATGAGTGTTTCTAATAAATTTAATAAATTTAATAATAAAATAAAATTAATATATATAATTCATAGATATTTGATTTATTATTTGAGACTTTTTACTATAATCGTATGTTCATTAAATATATAGTATTTTAAATATTGTATAAGTACATAAATCTATCATTTTATTTTTTATTCTTATACATATGTAAATAATAATGAATGCATATTCATAGTAAATGTATAAATATTCAAATATACTCAAATATAACATTAGTAAAGAACTTATTATTATTAACTTATTTTTCACATTAAAATATTTATGGGAGGAGTTTGAATTTATTACTTATATGGTTTTGGCTTTATAATTAATGATCGCAAGTTATTTTTGATTAAAACCAATACAACAATAAACCGTAAATAAATATATTTCTCTGAGCGAAAATGGCATCTCTTTTCTTCGTTTTATACTCTTTTTCATTTATAACGCACTCTTCTTTCTCTTAAAATATGTTAATCAAATTAATTGAAATATGTTGTTGTTTTGATCCATTGCTCTAAGAAGAAAATTTAATCGGTTTCGTGCTATCAAATGAGAAACAACTGTTCGCAAGATCGTTAACGTTTTTTTTTGAATTTTAAGTTAATTGTAAGATAAATCACAAATGGTCAATCAACTACATATAGGATGTAATGTGCTGCATATATGGGAAATATTATTGACTCGTATGATTTAAAAACAATAAATAAATACCTTAAATAAAAAAATTTTACAAATAATTTTTATAAACTGCGATAATATTATTAAAAACTGCGATAACACACACAACAGAGCATAAATTTGGATACGATAACGTTTGATATATTATTCGATGGAGACATAAAATTAGCATCGCAAATCTATGTATGCAGATTACTTGTTAACAATTTACGCAACAAACATTTTGCAACACTTATTTGCAGCATTATTTTGACGCATAGAGAGCAATTAGTAGAAGGAGAGAACATTGATAAAAAGAGAGTTCATGAATTTTGACAGCTGTAAATGACAATCAAGTGCGGAAAGTAGCTAATATGCAATAAATATAATAAAATTAGTTTAAAAATGCAGTTAAAAGTAATTATTACAAATATATAATAATTAAATGTACAAAAATCAACGGAAGTGGGTGTTTTAAATATTGCAAGAGTGAAAAGTTAAATAGTTGCGTTTTCCGCACGTCGATTTCATTTTGTTTTAAAAGTGTGTTTATTTTTGGAAACAAATACCAAAAGTGTGTCATATATAGTAGAAGCCACAGCATAGTATTTGAAAACGCGTCTGAATATTATAAATATACACATATATTGAAAGCGCTGTTTTATTTTAAAAATATACGCGGTGGATAACTTTTATTTAAGAATGGACCCAACGCGCGGAGACTCGCGCTATAATCTTAATTATTCTATGAGTAGTATTGGTCTCAGCTTAGCAGACCAATCAGATATGTACGGTAATCCCACTGCAGTTACTGCACTTGGCGGACGACCACCTAGCGGGAGTCTTTTACATATGGGAGGCAGTGGTATCGGACTTAGTCCACGTTCTGGCAGTCTTATGCCCACCACAACACAATGTCAGTCATTAGTTAATTCTAATGTTAATACTGTAGGTCTTTCTGGTGCTAGTGCACAACAGCATCAACATCGTGGTATTAAACGCGCAGGTTCGGACTGTTATGATGATCACAATAATCGACCAACATTGTCTTCGCAAGTAATACAAGGGCTAGACAGTTGCAGCTCTGGAGGAAATGGGCAACACACCAGTCATTCGCAATCACAACCTGGTGGAGGAGTTTCAGACGTTGTAGATGATAGTTATACTTCGCTGCAAAATAAAAAATCACCACCTGCTAATGGTAAAAAAACAAAGGGACGTGTAAAGATTAAAATGGAATATATTGATAATAAATTACGACGTTATACAACATTCTCCAAACGAAAAACAGGAATTATGAAAAAGGTAAAACAAAATATATTTAAATAATATGTTTCCTTATTAAAGCAATTTATTAACCGTTAAATAAATAACCCTTACTTCTTGATAATTACCTATATATAAATTTCGGAAAGGTTTCAAAGATTGAAACAATACTCCTCAAAGGGAAGTATTGTAATAATTGATGGTACAAACATATAAGAAAAATTTGTATTACAAATTTAATTTGTTTCTATTGATACTAAAAAGTAATATATATACTTTAACGTTTTAGTTAAATAAGTTCTATAACATACTCATATGATGTTAATTTTCGTTTTAAAGTGGTCAAATTTTATTTAAATCAATATTTGCAATAAGTTTTTTATCCTTGCATTTAATAGCATATAAAACAACTTAAAGTAATGTATATAAAAATATGTATGAAATCATTGAGTTAAATAACTTAAATTCTATTCAAATAAACTTTAAACATTTAAGGTATGGATATGGTAATATAAGACTATATGCATTTATTTATACTTAAAAATATGCCACTATACTTCACATTATATGTAGAGTTTCTTTTGCTTCACATAATAAGATACATCAAACGTGGAGGGAAGTGATTATATTCCTAACATGTTATCTTATTCTATTAGGTATATTCAAAAATATTCGCTGGCAATATTTATTAAAATCATTATGTATGAAATCAAAACAGGAACAAAGACTCTTCTTCTTCTGCAATATTCAAAATATGTATGTCAATCAGTACAGGGATGTTGTTTTTAACATGTACTGACAGCGGAAATAAAATTGAACAATAAATAAGTCAGTTTTAAAATAAAATATAAGTAACGTAAGGAAAAAGTAAATAGTAAATATATTTACTTATAAAATATGTATATTAATTATATATCTTCATATTAAAATATTGACCCTATTTATATTTATTGACGATGGCAGTAGGCGTTATACGTTGCTATTAATTTTTGTCTCCAATTAATAGTAAACTAAATTAATCTAAAACTGATGGCAAATTTTAAATATTGCATATAATTTTTGTACCTTCTGATTTCTTTTCTTTTTTTAAATGATATCATCGTAGCTTTAGAAATTCATTGTTTTCGCTGTGTGGGTTAATATCTGTATATATTGAAAATAATAATATTAAAATACACATACTTGCAAAATACGCATCTTCCATTTTTTTTATGAAATATTTTATTGTTATTGCCCTTGGAAGTGTTCCACTTCACATGATGTCGGTTTACTGCGCTTCTACGACTAATGTTTAGTTTCTCTCCGTAGGTGTGGATAGCCTTTCGAAGTCAAATATTAAGATAGAATAGAGATAGAATAAAATCCTAGAGATTTTTTAAAACTTGTTGTTTTTATATAATATAAAATATTTTATTATATACTCTTTTTTTATTTACATATAATTTAAATTATATTAGCTTATTTTTACTACCCACATTAACTAAAGATATAGTGTAAATTTCCGCACGTGTGAGACTTTCAATTGAATACATACATTTATACCTATTGAAAAGTAAAAAACTGAAATTTACAGAAAAAAAAATATATTCACAAAGTGAAGCAACAATGAGAAAAGAAACACCGCCAAAGGTGTTAAATTGAAATCACGTAACATTGCTTTAAAGCGAAGCGGTTGCATATTTAGTTTAAAGCAAATTTGCAAGGAGGCAACGGCCATTTGATCCGTGCTGCAATCACTGATCGACCAAAGCGATAAGGTTGAACATTGAACATACAAATAATCGCATACAAACAAATGATTTGGTCTTTTGGGAGAGCTTCCAGTTGCTGTCAATTGGTCCGAACGTGTGCAACAAGCAGCCTGACTACCGCTGCTGATACTTGGAGCATATTTTGTTTGTTTAACCGCTTTGTATTGTAAGATGTTTACGCATGTCCTTTGTGGTTCCATCCTTTTGTATGTGGGTCTATGTCAGGTTTGTAAAATCTTCGATGAAAATTCAAAATGACATTTGTTTGCTTTCAAGTTCCAACGATGATTATACCTCTAGTGTGTGGCTAAGCCGCTTTCTTTGAGTTTGAACTTTTGTGAATTTGTATTTTGGTTCAATTTGTTTTTTTTGTTCCTCATATGCTGATTTATAAATTTATTATTGATTTATTTTGTACAAATCCAAAGTTTTTAATATATAACCAAAAAATTTTAAGTTCTATATATTATATATGTGGTTGAAAAAATATGTGGATAAGAAGCAAAATAAACTATCAAAGTTAATTTAAATTTTTTTAAGAAAACCTAGATTCACTGCGATTGTTTTGTTTATTTAAATTGTATATTTTGTTGTACTTTGTGTACCATTGTTACTAGACAACGACCCAAAGCCAAGTGTCTACAAAGACCAATCGTTTATGATCACTCCTATTAAATCTTCATGCTTCTCAAACAATATTTTCCAATAATAATACATTGTAGCTCCACGTGGCAAAAGTAAACGATTATATGTACCCACTTCCCTAATGAGTGCATTAACAACATTGCTCTTTTCAAATCCATTTAGTCAGCTAGCGTGCTTACTATTAAACAACTTCTCTGTAGAATTAAAACGGGTTCACTTCTTAGGGGTAAAGTGTATCCGTCTTCCATAACACGGATTACCAATGGCCTTTATCTATCGTTCTGTCTGAGGATGGAACGTCGCAGGTTATAACAAGAACATTTCCAACAATAACATTTACATAACGTAATAAAATAACGTAATCATAATAAAATATAGTCTGTAATAATTTTTTAATAAAATTTATCGATTGTTTCTTTTTATTTTGAATTTTACATTTATCTTTACAATTCTTATCAAATAATAAATATATTTCTTTATTAACAATATAATTTCAGGCCTATGAGCTTTCTACATTAACGGGCACACAAGTAATGCTTTTAGTTGCTTCTGAGACTGGACATGTTTACACATTTGCCACACGTAAACTTCAACCGATGATAACATCTGAGGCTGGCAAACAGCTTATTCAAACATGTTTGAATTCTCCAGATCCGCCCAGTGTAGGAGGAGGCGATCAACGAATGTCCGCTACAGGTTTTGAAGAGACTGAACTAAGCTACAATATTGTTGACGAGGATTCAAAAGTAAGACAATTAATTTATGGCCATCATGGTCACGCTCATCTCGGTCATCCACAGACTCAAGCAGCTCATTATGGATTAGAGCAAAGTATTATGCAGTCTCCATATAGTGGAGGGCAACCTTCCCCACTCTCCCATCCACAAGCTTATGCATCACATCACTCACATGTCCCTCATATACCTCATTCAACACATTCACATATGTCACATACTCATGGGCAACGGTAGAATATAATTAAGTTGTATAGATATTTACCAGCAATGAGATGTGATAATAGTTGGGCTTAATGTCTTCAATATTTATGGGGATAGCATTATTTAATATAGGTTATACATTTGAATAGATATATTTTTTTGAATTCATTTCTTAGAAATATCACAAGAGATATCACGAAATCAATGAATGATCTCGCTTTTATATTACATACTTAGTATATTATGCATATATAATATTTAAAGGTTTCATGCTCAAGAGTAAATTTTTGACATTGAACTAGTCATTTGTAAAGTACATCACGAAAGTGAAAATTAAAAATACTTCCGCGTGCCATACTGCTTATTATAAGCTAAACTACTCAATAAACCTTTAAAAACATATATCTAATCAAATTATGGATTTTATGGATTATGGATTGATATTACATATTTTCGCAGTGAAGTAAATCGTGCCATCAAACATTTTTGCTATCGTTGAAGATTGTTGGTTTCTCACAAAAGTTTAGACACAGTGGTGCAATAATAGATACAATACTCGTATATCTACGAGATACATAGATAGATTAGTTAGTTAAAGTTCTGCTGCAAGAGTCTAGCAAATCCCTGCAACACAACACCGAAATGAGCGTGATCGATGTAACGTTTGCGTTTTGTTATTAATAATTTTGTCACTTAGTTGTTATTTCATTATTATTATTATTATTATTTATCATTTATATTATGTGTACATACATACATAAGCGTTTGTAAAGTTGGCATTGTGCAAAGCAAAGTTTTAAAGTTTTAAAGTAAGAAAAAATGCTTAGAGCTTGTACATTTTCGGTATGAAATTATTAGATACTTTTCACTGAAATATATTCGCTTAATTTTTATTTTTGCAACATCAAAAACAAAATTATATTTTTTATTTGTACATCATATATAAATTTAAGTTTATTTTAAAATATCCTTTGCCTGCTTATTTATATTCTTACTGACGATGTAAACGTTCATTAAATTTTTAAATTATTAAATTATTTAATGTTGAGCAATATTATTTTTAAGCATGTGTAGTTAAAATATTTTATTTACTAGTTAAATGTATATTTTATTGTATTATACATAAATTAATATATTAAATACCGGAAATATTTCTGTCAAACAGAAACTAAATGAAATCAAAATTTAAGAAAAATAGTTTTAAGCAAATACTAAATTTTATGAGAATACTCAGAACTTGCACTTATATAAATGCAGTTTTATATTAAATATGAAACAGAAAGGTAACGTAAATTGTAATAAACAAATCTATTAATATCAAAAATACTTACTTACTTAATTGAACACTACAACAATATGTTGTGCCAAACCTCCTCCTCTAGTCGTTTCTGCATTTCGACACTGACGACATACAGATATATGGAGTGATTATGCCGATACCTAGTACTTGATTTTTCTCTCTTAAAGGATGTGTTCTTCTTCACCTTGTGATACCATTGCAAACATTTTTTAACTAGTTGTCAGACTTCAAGGATGTTCACCATGTTTTCCGACAACCTTGGCATCTCTTAGGAATTTCAGTCAAACGCATTTCAAACAATGTTCGAAGCTCATTTCGTCTAATTCATCTTTACTGATTGTTAAGAGCGTCGCTTTATAGACTTAATAGATTAAAACCGTTCTAGATCATATTGTATTTTGTCAACATTGTCTATAGAGGTTCAGTAAAACTTATTTCGTGCTTAATTTATATCAACTTTTCTAATTTAGATTCATTCTGTTTCGATTTATGATGAAATTATAAAAGTCTTTTTAAATAAAAATATAAATAAATATAAAAGATACTATATATAAACAAACTATTGCCGATCGACTAAATTTTTAATATTGATGTTCTTGTACTGGCATAAGTTTCTACACTTAACAGTCCAATTTGGTATAAATATGCTAACAAATAAAGTTTTTCCTTCAAAAACATCTATCTAAACTGTTAGTCTGGCAGCTATATTCAAATCTAAATCGACATCAAAAAAATAAAATTCATATAACGAAACAGTGAAGCTATTTACCACAATGAATAAAACTCAACAAAAATACTTCACATTTTTGTACTATTAGATAGTTAATAGATAGATAGATATAGTTAACAAGTCTTAATAGTTCCAACAATTTTTTAAGGTTCGTTCCTAATTCATCGAATGGATTGAGAATATATGTATTAACGAGTACCTTGTATTAGTCTTGTATTAAACTTAATGCATCGTTTTTACAATGCATGTGTGAGTGAAGTTTCGACTGTGTTTGGATCAAATTAAGCTGAACGGCTCATTCTGATAACGCTGAGAATTGCTACAGGCGTTTATATAGACTATGAAATTCTAAATATAACACTGCATACGAATTGGTCTACTAATTTGAATTTATATCCCTTAGAGAATAAACACTTTCGTTGTACTCATGCTTTCGGTTAGTGTTTTATTCAACTCAAACTTTTAAACTCAAATAAACAAAAGTGAAATAGCCAGCTAATAGCATCAAAAAAAAAAATATAACAAAAAAATAGAAAAACGTTAGTTAAGTGCACTAAAACAACAGAAAAAATATTAAAAAATTATTATATAAATATTTACATTACAATAAAAAAGTCAAGACCCAGTCCTGAGAACTATGTATGAAATTTTATTGAACTTTCTGAAAAACTGATTGATTAGTTTGCATTGAAATAAACTAACAAACCAACATATCAGTAGATAAATGCATTAATTCACCTTATCTTGCAGATAAAGAATAAAGATACATTACAAACAGCTGGGCAAAGTTGATATGCGTCTTTCAAAAACTTTATATATATTTACATATATACTTTGTGTATAGTTAGGGTTGTCGAAATCAAGAAATTCAGTTTCACTGGAATCTAGTGTGGTCTTAAATGTTCCATAACATGTTTCGAATAATTCCTAAATGAATTAAAGGTATTTAGTATTTAAACAAGAAATTCACTAGATCAGATCTGTTGTAAATCTGTAAATATTGTTTAGAATTTTAATATTTTTTATTAAATTTCGAAATTAGTAAATTGGTAACACATAATTGAAGTTGCTTCTCGAGTGCGCCTATTAGCTTCCGCTTTTCACAACAGCTGTGAGTGGGACAGCCTACATAGAGATGTTAAGCTGAAGGTAACGTACATAAACCAGCCCACTTACAATGTGATGAGCCTAAACTACGATTGTTAAGAGCGTTGTAATTTAACTAAGCTTACAATGACGTCATTCTTAATCGGACATATGTTTATTGTCGCAGATTTTTAAATCGATCAATTTTCATCGAAATATGCTTCACGCTTGACTAAAATCCAATATTTTAAACTCACAAGCGAAATGAAAATAAATAATATGCGTTTTTTGTTTTTTTTATTGTTTTTGATTAAAATGATTTATGTATGAATTAATTCGTATATATGCAAAATATTGTCTTAATTCAGAGTTTATTGGTTTGGTATACACAGACACGAACTTGAATGAAATTCAATGTTGCCAAATTTTTTAACGTAGGCCACAAAACCGAATGACGTGTGCTGCGTTTTCTTCTTTTTACTGTTTTTTGATAAAACTTTGCCGCATATTAGCTCTTTAACTATGTCTTTCAGTTAATTTGATGATGTTTTGAGTGAAACAGAATCGTCGTTATAAAACTGTCCGGTGATCATCACTGTTGAGAATGAATGGGTGTAGGAGTCAGTAGTCGCGCTTGTGTGCAAATAGCTTGGTTAAGTCTTTTTTTTATTTATCTTCGGTAACCTTTTCTGTTCGAAGACTTCGCCGCTTGCACCCGTACTTTTTCCAAGCCATATTATATCAGTTTACCACAAAATTTATTGATAAAAGACACCAGTCAGCTTCTCCTCTAACGTGGAACATGGAACGTGGCCTCTTGCCTTTTGCCTCTTGCCTCTGAGCTATTAAGAAAACTATGAATGAAATTTGTGTATATTTGTGATTTTATGAATTTGTATATAACGAAATTATGGTTCACGATAAAAGCGACGTACGAGTATTCTACCAGATAAGTTGTTTTCAGTGTTTTCAGTGTTTTCAGTGTTTCAGTGTTTTTTTAATGAATCAACGCCAACTCTCCGATACCAAGGTTAGTTGCTAAACGTTAAAAAAGTGGTTGAAGTGGGCTGACAGTGTTTCTCTGTGTGCTGGCTTTTAGCATCTTTAATATGAAATAATTTTTTTGTGAGGGTGTATAATTTGTTGCTTTTGCGATGCATTGCCATTTTTGGTTTTATTCTGTTTACGAATGATTTTTTGATTTCGATTGCCCCGCTTCACTTTTTCATAATAAAAAGAGTTAGAGGAGATAACTTTTTTATAATAAATTTTTTTTTATTTTTTATTTTGTATTATAATATATTTAATAATAATTTCTTATTCAACTTATTCTATTATTCTTTCTCTTCTTATTTCAAACCATTTTTATAAAATTTAGTTAATTTAGTGAAAGTTATTCATTGTTCTTAAATATATAATTTTCATATTGTTCTTATAATATAGTATTTAAAAAAAAATTTTTTTAGTACTTCAGTAAAATATATGTATATACATATGTACATAAACTATAACAAGACCACCTCCACATTGGCATGATTCCGCATAAGCAACTTGAAATTCTCATCGGCGTTTCAGTAGCTTACATCTTTGCGCCATGCCGCGTACTAAATACCCATCGATATGCTTTCAACATTTCAATGCTTTTTTATTTGGTTCTTTGAAAAGATTAAATTCAGTGACCACGTGCGTTGA